AAGATAATATTTTTGATTGACTATTTTATGAGATATTTTTGTATATTTTTTGATAAATTTGACACTTGAGAACTTCAAAAGATAGTTGATTTTTCTCCTCATTATTAATGACTCAAAAGATTGATTTACAAGATATCACTGACCCTATTATTAATAACTCATATGAAGAGAATATTTTTCGAGAATTAGATGGGAATCTTCATGACATGGAAGATGAAGAACAAACAAAGAATAAACCATTTAAAGAAGATTATTTTGATTATATGATTTATTCAGTGAGAGAACATTACAACAAAGCTAAAGTAATAATGTCTTATTCATTTAATACTGAAAAATTCTCTAAACCAGTTTTATTACTTATTTCAGGACTATTTATCTTTTTTGCCGTATCAAGTTCTACTATATTAACCATTGTTGGTATTGTTGATTCACAACACATTTTTGAACATTTATTCTTTGTTAAATTAACTCATTTAATAATATCCTCCCCATTTAACCGTACAATACCTTCTTATTCATCAATTAAATTATATCTAGTGATAGGGATATGTATTGTTATTAGTTTAACATCACTATATTTATTCCAGTCTATTCTCTCTTTTCCAATGCAGACCCTTGGGCAGTCTATGAAATTCATTCCAATAATTCTTCTTCGCCCATTATTTAGAATTCCACTCAAACAAAATGATTTAGTCATTGGAGTAGTTACATTATCAACCATCTTTGTATTTGTGATTGTAAGTAATGCCAGTATAACCTCATTTATATTATTAATGTTATATATTACTTTTGATGCAATGGCAATGGTCCTTCAATCAAAATACTTTACAATAGATGACTATTATGCTAAATTATTTTATCCATCTGCTTTTTCTGTCATAATATTCTTGATCCTTTCATTACTTCTTCAAAATGATTTGATAATTAGTCACTATTATCTCTGTATATTCAATTGTTTGTCTTCAGCAATGACTCAAATAACTAACCAAATACTAATGAAACATACTCGTGGAAAAATATGGATGAACACACTTCATGTTTTTAGACAATTTGTAAAACTATGTTATTCTTTTCTTTTTATTCAAAACTTAACATCCCTTCAATTCCTATCTTCAGTTCTTGTGTTTTTATGTTTGTTCCTCCACGGTGTGTCTTTTAAAATACCAAAAAGATTTAACCAACAAGATAGTATAACTTATACCTCTTAGTATTTTAATTCATTATCGTTTAATTCCAAAAAATATTAAAAGAGGTAAACATGAACATTCTTGTTTTTTATTCTAAAACTAAACCCTTTTCTCACTTTCTTTTCAAATAATATCAAAAATCTTATCATATAACCTCATCTATTTAAACCCTAAATCTTAGTAACATTTTTTTAAAAGAAAATGTCCATCACTGGTGAAGAATTCGCTAAGGTAACTTCAAAAGTTCTTGGTGAATCAAAAGAATACAAAGGAGAGCAATGTGTTGGATATGATTTTGATAATGGAGTTGACTTTAATAAAGTAATGGAAAAAATGAAATATACTGGATTTCAGGCTTTAAATCTTGGGCTATGCATAGAACAAGTCAATGAAATGAGAAAGAACCATGCAAAGATATTCCTTGGGATGTCTTCAAATATAGTTTCAAGTGGGTTAAGAGAAGTTATTCATTATTTAGTAAAGAATAAATTTGTTGATGCTATTGTAGTTACTGCAGGTGGAATTGAAGAAGACTTTATTAAAACAATGCACCCAACACTTCTTGGTGATTTCTATTTTAAAGGCAAAGAATTATATCCAAATGGATATAACAGAATAGGAAACTTAATTTTACCAAATTCTAATTATTGCGAATTTGAAGATTGGATGGATCCCTTACTCTTAGAATGTCTTAAGGAACAAAATGAACATGGAGTTCATTGGACACCATCAAAACTGGTTCATAAAATGGGAGAGTCTATTAATAATGAAAGTTCAATTTATTATTGGGCTGCAAAAAATAATATTCCAGTATTTTCCCCAGCGATTACTGATGGAAGCATTGGTGATATGATCTTTTTCTTTAGTTATAAAAATGAAGGACTTGTTTTAGATCTTGTTCAAGACGTCATAAAAATAGATGAAATGGCTTTTAATGCTGAAAAAGTTGGATGTCTTTTAGTTGGTGCTGGTATTGCTAAACATCATATATTAAATGCAATGAAAAGAAGAGGGGGTTGTGATTATTGTGCTATGTTATCAACAAGTATTGAGTGTGATGCATCAGATGCTGGTTCAGAAATTGCTGCAGATAGAACAAAAGGTTTCTTTAAACCAGAATGTAATCCAGCTAAGGTTATTGGAGATGCTACTATTCTTTTACCACTTATTGTTGCCTCAACATTTGCACAAAAAGAAGAACCTACTAAATAGATATATTCTAAGTGATTTCCTTTCATTTATTATAATTTTAATAACTAAACTTTCTTATTTAATTCTATTTTTTAATATGGTTGTAATACTTCAATAATAAATTAAAAAAGAGGTAATAAACTAAAAATAGGTTATGAAATATATTTTTTTTCAATAATAATTGAGTAGGTTTAAAAAGTCTAGAAATTGTTTAGATACCAGTGAATGACAAGTAAACATTTTATAAAAGAATCAACTAACTTGTATTAGTAAGTTTTGTTTGTATTTTTTGATAAGAAATTCATGACCTATTGAATAAAAACAAGATTTTAATAACTTAAGAGTAAATTAATTGCAGTATTAGAGGTTAAATAGACTATTTGATAAATAGATATCATTTTAAATAAAAAAAGGTATTTTACTATTACAAATAATTAAGAATAAAACCATTTTACAAAGTATAGATAAAAATCTATCTTATCTAGACAAGTATAATTATTTTAAGAAATTTTATAAAAGAAATTTTTTCAAAACAAAGAAAAGTTGCTTAATTTTACTGAAGTTTTCATAATTATTATAAAGAAAAAGAGTGTATATAATTTACCGTCATATTCAAATTGTTTCATTTTAGTAATAACTTTAATCCAAACCAAAAGTGTCTTGTCAGTAGGACAACATTCTATGTTAAGGGACAAATATATTTCTATAAAAAAGAAGCAAAAGGTCTTTGAAGGGAGTTTAAAAAATAATAAAGAGAAAAAGAAAAGTTATATTAATTAAAGGTACTTTGAAAAAGTTTATATTAGATTAAAAAATTCTATTGAACAAATTACTTGAATTTCTTTTGAAAAGTAAAAGAAGAAAACAAAGAAAGAAGAAAATCGAATTCTGATTTTTTCTTTGGATACCATTTTTGGTCACTATTTTACTTCCAGTTAATATAACCCTGTGAATATAAAAGAACTTTTTATATTCAAATTTATTTATTAGACTTATGTACTCTTCAAACTATCTTTCTGTCTTTAAACCAAGCGATGTTAGAAGTTATAAAATTATTGATTCTAAAATTAATGAACCAACTATTATCTTAAGCTCTCCTCCTCCTTTAGAAGTTGTTAAAGAGAAATCAGCAAAACCAATTACAACTGTTATCAAAGAACGTAAAACTAAAAAATATTGGTCAACTGAACAAAAGAAACTTGCTGTTGAAAAAGCTAAGATATTAGGATTATCTAAAGCAACAAAATATCTTCAAGTTACTTATCCAGGAATTTATAGTGATTTATCTCCAAGTACATTACAATATTGGATTCATAAAAATAATCCTCAAATTTTATCAATCTGATGTATCCATTCTTTGTATCACTCTATTAAATAGATTTCTTTTTATTATTTTTCTTTTTTCTTAAATATAAAAATCTTCATTTTAATGAAAAGACAATATTTTTTTCTCTAATTTTTGAAAACTTCGTTTTTATCATTAATTACCCTTTCTTGCTTTTTCTTTTATGATTTACTCAATACTAAAAAATCAGGAAACTTCCCTATTGATTCGAGTAAACCATCTTTAACTTTCCAAAAAGAAAAACTAAAAAATCATTACGAGATGGACTACCAGAAGTGTTTAGAAGTTGTTAAAGGAGGTAATATTCTTCCTGAAAATGATTTTAAAAGACTATGTAATGCCGTTAAATCTATTCTAATTGAAGAGTCTAATGTACAACCAATTCAATCTCCTGTTATTGTTTGTGGTGATATTCATGGACAATTCTATGACTTAATGAAATTATTTTCTATTGGAGGTTCATTACCAGAAAATTCATATATTTTTTTAGGTGATTATGTTGATAGAGGAAGTTATTCAATTGAAGTATTTACTTTGTTAATGTTATATAAAGTGATGTATCCAACTAGAATCTCCTTAATGAGAGGTAATCACGAAAGTAGACAAGTCACTCAAGTTTATGGTTTTTATGAAGAATGTATTAAAAAATATGGAACCGCCAATTCGTATAGATGGTGTATGGAAGTATTTGATTATTTAAATATTGCTGCTCTTATTGATGGTAAAATTTTTTGTGTTCATGGAGGTCTTTCACCTGAAATAAGAAGTATAGATCATATTAGAGTTATTGTAAAAAGAAATCAAGAAATTCCACATGAAGGTGCATTTTGTGATTTAATGTGGTCAGATCCAGATGAAAGTGTTGAAGGAATGGTCCCATCAACAAGAGGTGCTGGATATGTTTTTGGAGCAAAACCAGTTAATGAATTTGTTCAAGTTAATAATATTGATTTAATTGCTCGTGCTCACCAAGTAGTTCAAGAAGGTTACAAATATCATTTTGATAATAAATTGGTTACTGTATGGTCTGCACCAAATTATTGTGGTAGATGTGGTAATATTGCTTGTATTATGAGAGTAGGAACTGATTTGAAACAAGAATTTACTATTTTTGATGCTGTTCCTGAATCAGAAAAACCAATTCCACCAAGAATAACACCAGCTTTCTTTATGTAAAGAGATGAAATGATCACATAATCCAAATTAATACTTTTAAAAACAAAAAACCTTAAAATATTATTTTTAAGATTTTTTTTGATTTTTGAAAAATTGATAAGATTGGATTTAGGGTTGAAACTCTTTTGAGATTTTTTTATTCCATTTCTTATGACCATTGAATTAAAGGAGGAAATTATCATTCCTGATGATATTGTTTGTCCTTCTCGTGTGTTAGATATTAAATTTAGTCCAACTAATGATATTGTTGCTGTAGGAGATATGCATGGTCTTATTAGATTATATAACTATGGTAATATTCAGGAACCGAATGAAATGTTTAATCTTAAAGCTCATGAAGATTCAACAAGAGATGTTTGTTTTAATGACAGTGGAAATCTTTTGTTTTCTACTTCTGCTGATGGTTCAATTACTATTACAGATTTAAATAATCAAAAAATTCTTGCAAAGAATGATAAAGCCCATAAACATGGCATCTATTCATTAGATGTAAAAGGAAATATTTTTGTTACAGGTGATGAAAGTGGCAGAATTAAAGTATGGGATATGAGACAGCAAAAATGTGTTGTTGTTTTCAATGAACATCACGATTATATTTCTCAATTAACCATTTGTGATAATACTATTTTTGCTGCAGGAGGTGATGGATGTATGTCAACATGGAACATTAATTCAAAAAAAGTTATTGGAATAAGTGATAATATGAATGAAGATTTATTATCTCTGTCTATAACAAAAAAAGATGACACACTTGTATGTGGTGGTCAAAGTGGAAAATTATTTGTATGGGAATGGGATAATTGGGAATATCCAAAAAACGCTCTTAAAGGACATCCAGAGAGTATTGAGAGTATTATTGCAGTCAATAAAAATACTATTATTACTGGTAGTTCTGATGGTATTATTCGTGTGGTTCAAATAAATCCACACAAATTACTTGGTTGTGTTGGTCAACATGATTTTCCAATTGAACGTTTGGCTTTGTCAAGAGACAAAAATATATTAGCATCATCTTCTCATAGTAGACACATCAAATTTTGGGATGTTGGATATTTATATAATGACCAAGATGATGAAGAAAGTGATGATAGTAAATCAAAAACAATGGTAATAGAAAAACCAGAAGCAGATATTGTCACTCCTTTCCAAGAAGAAAAAGTTCAAAATGCATATAACAAAAAGAAGAAAACTAAAGGTCCACAACAAAGAAATGAAACTAATCCATTCTACAAAGATATGTGAAGGATTAATTTTTTCGAT